ATTTGGATAGCGGCGATGTAAATTCTAAGCATGTATTTGATGCGTAGCGCAATATGTCGCTTGACGCGGGGTAAGGCGCTTTACGTGCCGACAACTTAGTTAACATTTTTCATTATCCTTACTCGTATTGAGAATATGTTATATATTAAATGTTAGCATTATTTTCGTATTTACGATCTCACCTAAGTGAACCGAAGTTCTTCTACGACTTGACTCAGACTGTAGTGTAGAATCAATTCCTCAATTATGTCCGCATAATACTAAGTAATAATATCACTAAGTCCTAATAGATGATTTAATATGATTTTATTTCTTATAATATTGAAGAAAACGAAAAGGAGGGATATTTGTAGAGCAGGTTACAAGTTATAGAATCGCTTTCATCAGAAATAAGGTATACTTTTTACGAAAGTCCCGAATTCCCGCATAAAGAAATGGTTATCGTAGTAATTACTGAGAGGCTGCTACCACCCGTGGTTTATACACAAAGCTTTTTAGATAAATAACTTCCTAAAATAGGCCCGTGATTTAGGTAGTAGATGTAATGAAAATACAGTCTAACGGACGCCTTCATAGCAAAAGCTGCGGTTAATTATATTTGTTTAATGAATTCAAATATCTTTATTCAATATAGAACATGACATTTAGTTATTGATTGTTAAAATATTACCACCACACCGGTTCAGAAAAAAAACCAGCTTGAGAAGAACCGGCGAAAGAAACTTAGCGGGACAATTTTTTTTAACATAATTTTCCAAAAAAAATATGTTTACAATATATTAAATTGCACTTAGAGAGCCTGGAGCGATCACTTCATTTCCGGTGTGTTATTATTTAAATAATCGCTATTATTATGATGTCACACAAACGTACCCGTACAATTTTTTTGAATTTAGCAACGTACATATAACATAATCCATATTATAATTTATTAAATGTTTCTTTATTAAAATGAATGAAGTACTTGATAGCTGTCTGTAATGAAGAAAATAATAGTATTTAGAATAGATTCGATCTGGAATAATATCAACTATAAATTAATTAGCGCCGACGTCCACATTTTTCTTAAAACTGAATCATTGTTACATTATTTACACTTAGATGACATCATATATAATGGATGTAACCTACATAATCTCGCTATAAACAACAGGCGGTCGTAGGGGTTCGATAATCACTATGTAAACCATGTTTACTACGCTTTAATCTGGATATTGAAACGGCACTTCTGTACTTGTCACTGTGTCTATGATTTGGGGACATTCTAAGATTCAACATTATTCAATTTAGTTTAATTCCGTAAAACATAGCTGTTCGTTAATAGCCTACATCTTATGACTTAAGTGTAGAAATTGAAAGGGAATGAATTCCACGTTTCGCAGAGCTTATTTATTTACCACGAATATGGTCGAGTAAGTGGCTGCCTCCATTACATACTTTAATGAGCTAATAGCTGGAACTAAAATAGGCTACCTCACTGAAGAAGCGCAGATGTTTAACACTTCCAGTTTACGCTGGTCTTCTGTGAGGTCATGGTACTTCCGGAAGGCCCTGCCCATTCGTGAAACAGCGAAGACTGAAACGTGACCCTAACAAATTTACTAGTGCAATAGTCTGTCCCAGATATACAAAAGTTTGTTTCAGATATACAAAAGTACTCTTTGGTCTGTCCACTGGGTCGTTTTTTCGTGTTTAATCTATTCCATATTCAATTTATGTGACAATTCGAAAATATCAATTTTACACTTTTTTTAAAAAAAAACGCTAATTTTACTTACGGTATGTCGTGTTATTATTTCCGCTTTGAAAATGTAAAATGCTTATTAAAATATAGTTTTACAATTGTACATACTAACCGCCACACTTGGCAGCCAGTCCTATGTGGGAAATTTTTGGGATTTTTCTTATTGCTATAGTTTAATTCAAAATCAGAAGCTGCATTTAACATAAACGCCTTTAAAACATCATCCCAGCCCCTGCGTGATTTGGTACGTCTTCTAATAGGACCATCAATACTTTTTCGTTCATACTTAAACTTCTCGTATGTACAGCGCCGGGAGTCATAACTTGTTTAACCGCTTGAAAAAATTGCCTAGTAACTTGTGCGGAACTTATAGACAGCCTCTATCCCTAATTTACTGGTGTTTGGCAGTGTACCGGCCCTAAGGCGTTGCAAATTTCAATCGCAAATGTTAAGACACAGACCTGGGCTGAGCTTCTGGGTCTTAACGGAGATCCATGGGGGCGTCCATACGGTTCGTGTAGGATAATTAACATCAGGTGGACCGCCTGCTCGTTTGACTACTTTTCACTAAGAAAAACCTTTACAGTATATAATGTATACAAAAATCCAAAGATTATTTTACAGATACAATACAGATTTCATTCCGGTAAAGCCACACCGTTGCCTCTGTGTAAAGATTTTTTTCGAACGTATTCATGTAAAATAATTTTATTACACGGAAATCGGGTAGTATTGCCATTACGTTTGCGTTTAATCTGGTAGGGTAAACGTCCTAAAGGTAGCAGAAGTCTATAAAGATGTTAAGATCGTTTGGCAGATAAACAATGTGATTTAATTAGTTATATTTCGATAGTTTTCACATTTTAAAGGTCATTTCACAGTTGTCAATTTAGAAATCGAAAATAAAACTGCAAGAATCATTCAATAATCATTTTATTTGTTTACAAATTATATTTATAATTTTTTTGACTCTACAATGCATCTATCTAGGCGTCATATATTACAGACTTAGCATGGATACAGACATCGAAAAAATTATTAAACGCCAAGACACGAAACAGTTACTTTCTGTTTCCTCGTCGACCTCCTCGTATGCATTAAGTCAAATCCTCGACATTTCAATGTAATTAACAATTTACATTACAAAATATTTTTCTGAATTGGATACATAAAGATATTTGAAAAAGTAATTGAATCCTCAAACGATAAAAAAAACTTTCTAAAGGAAATAAAATGTAAATAAATATCCCTTTAAATTTGGAGAAAAACGCACGATTAGTCAATCGCCTACATTATGAAACAATTTTTTTATTGTCGCGGCAATCGGTGATACGCCAAGTGCTACGAAGTTTGTTTAAACAAAATAGCGTCGAACTTTACTCGAAGCGAATAAGTTGTTGGCACATATGCAAGTCCTGATCAGTACTTAAAAGTTAACAAAGAAGTTCAACATAAAGAAAAGATTAAGACAACAAGATTGAGCATTAAATAATAAATAAAGTATAGAACAACTTAACAAAACTAGGGAAATACGTCAAACCTCCAATCGCCCCGACGTCTGCATTTTGATGTTTTTTGCTGATTTTACTTTTGCATATGTAAAGATAAAGATATTTAAGTGCCAGAAGTTCAGCTAATTATTAAAGCGAATCAAAATCAATTAAATACTCAAGTTGCGTATGTATTTCAATCGAATTCATGAAATTTTATACACCGTATGAACTAACCATTTACACGTGTTATGTTTTTTAAAATAAAATAACATTTTGACATTGAAGCCAAATAGAATTTTCTAATTTGAATTTCTCCAATTGCAAATATATTTTGGTCGCCACGTCACGTCGTTAAGAGTATTTATATTGATATTTTAACTAAAGATAAACATTATGCACAAAGAAAATAGTTATAAATGTAGTTTAATTAATTGGGAGGATAAAAAATAAAGTGACGTAAAATACTTATTAGTTAATGGAAAACTACCACCAAATTATCACAATCATGAAGGTAAACAAAGTTGTAGTTTCAAGTTGTAACTTTGAATTTTGTACATCATTTAACAAAGTACATAAAACCCAAAATAATAAAAACGATTTACGTAAATATCGCATTTATTTCTTAAATATTAATTAGCCAAGTCAAACGTTACTTTTTGTATACGTCTAGATAGTTAGGTAGAACGCAGCCATTTCATTTATTAAATATGAATTAATAAAAAAATATATGTTTGCCCCAATCGGCTATATCGACGTAAAACGATTTCGCAACTAAATATCATTATACTCCTATAACCTAACAGAGCAACAGTTATACAGATAAAAAATTGTGACTGTACAAATAAGACTCGGCAAATGCCGATCAAAACAAGCTTAGTGAATTTCAGCTATATCTGTGAAAAATAATAATTGATTAAAATCGACGACATAAAGAAGAAACATTAAAATTACAATTTACATTAACTATTTAAAGTTCCATCGATGTTTAAACTTTTAGAGTGCAATGATTGACACTGGCCGGTAATAATGCGCTGCGATATTTTATCTATGGATAAAATTAGTTACGTAGCCAAAGTCCCCGTTCTCAATAGGGTTTCTTTTTTATTTTAAAATAAGACTTGAGCTGTCAAACTGAAAAATGGCGGTATGACGATGAATAGTCTTATATAGAGAAATCCCAAGACGTTAAACTATCATAATAATAATAAACTGACAAATTGACAGCTCACGAGCGCGAATCATCGTTCTAAACTTCAAAGCATTCATTTATCTAATAAACACTAAATATATCGTAATGAACATAAACGCAAAAACTGATTTCGTCGTATGGGAGATTGGATTTGAGGAGCGGTACGTAAGAAATGATAAGAAACTGTGGTATAAAAACCACAACATACAGCTGTCTTATACATGTACTGTAACTTTTTCATTCTTGTGTGATTTTTAGTAAAAAAAGATAAGGAGTAAATTATATTTACAGTGATTATGGAAAAAACAGAATGAATTTATTAATTTTTCAATTTTAAAAAACTTTATTTAAAAACAGAACATCAACAGAACGCATTTTGCGAAAGGCAATTATTGCTCAAAGTAGTCTCCCATACGCTTAACTTTATATTATGACTGACGAGATGAAACGTATCACACAGTGGTGATACAAATACATAAACGATAGACACTAAAAAAAAAAAAAAAAGAAATATTTTTTTATCTACGACTACCTAATATTTTCTCTGAAATAACGCGAGACCATTTCAAGTTCAAGTTGCGACTTTGTTTCGGCCCTCTTCAGGTCGAGTCGAGGTGATCGTATTTCGAGCGAAGCCATCACCGAAACTCGACGATTGCTTTAAAGGACATTGCGAGAGGGCTCGTGTCACGTGCGGGTTGCGTTTGAATCGATACAAATCGCGGCCTTCGTTGATCGCTGCAAGGTGACGGCTCAGTTCGACGTGACTGCGGAGCTCTGTTGTTGCTGCTTGTGCCTCCGGTGGTCGTAGTTCACCAGCCGCTGCCCGACTAGGTACTTGTCGTTCTTTATGTGCTCGTAAAGTTTGCGGAACTGCCGAATCTGGTGAGACAAATCCAATTAGTCGGCAGGGAGACCAATTACCATTTTGACACTTCCTAACGGTAAATAAAAGAAAAACAATGCGAAAGACGGACGGTTTTCCTTTATATCCAAGTAGGGTTCGCAGCACTAGCAGTACTAGACCACAAACTACAATACTCCCACACATTACTTGGTGTTATGGTCAGCTAAAAGGGTACCTTAAAACTATGCTCAGTGTGAGTACGGTCAATAGAATTGATACATGTGTTTACGGTCCTTAAGACACGATATTCGGAACAACGGCACCAGTAGATGGAATGTTGGTCACACCGCAAGTAAAAAGCAGTACAGAATTGCGGTACCAAGAGGTGAGTTTGCGCACCTCTCTAGTGCGTACAGGTCGCACATGTCACTAGTACAGTACAAGGGATGCGCATGTTACTAGTATAGTTATGGGGACACTCGTCGCTAGTACATTCGAGAGGGCGCGCGCATCGCTAGTACAGTCGAGACGGCATGCCCGTCGTTAGTACAGTCAAGAGAGCACATGCGTCGCTGGTACAGTCGAGAGCGCGCTCGGTACTAATTCATTCAAGAGAGCACGCGTACCACTAGTGCAGTCCATAGGGCGCACGTCGCTGGTACAGTCGCGCACGACGTTAGCATAGACTAAAAAACAAGTACATCGCCGGTACAGTCGAGAGCGCACTCGTCGATAGTACAGTCAAGAGAGCACATTCGTGGTACAGTCGAGAGCGCGTTAATTACTAGTACATCCAAGATGGCACGCGTATCACTAGTGCAGTCCAGAGGGCGCGCGTCGCTGTTACAGTCACGCACGATTCTAGCATAGGAAAAAGAGCATGTACGTCGCCGTTAGTCGAGAGCGCGCTCATTACTATCACAATCAAGAGAGCACGCGTATCACTAGTGCAGTCGAGAGGGCGCACGACGCTGGTACAGTCGCGCACGACGCTAGCATAGGCAAAAGAGCGAGCGTGTACGTCGCGGGTACAGTCGAGAGCGCGCTCGTTACTAGTACAGTCAAGAGAGCACGCGTATCACTAGGAGGACACGCGTCGCCGGTACAGTCGCGCGCGATTCCATTACAGTCGAGAGGGCGCGCGCGTCGCCGGTACAGTCGCGCACGACGCTAGTACAGTCGAGAGGGCGCGCGCGTCGGCGGTACAGTCGCGGGCAGCGGTACCTGGAAGACCGCGAGCGCGGCCAGCACGGCGAGCAGCAGCAGCGCGGGGTAGACGCGGCGCCGCGAGCAGGTTGCGCTGCGCGGGCGCGCCCACCAGCAGCGGCGCCACGCTGTGCGCGAACGCGTACGGCACGGCCAGCGCGAGCCCCAGCCACCGCACCAGCGGCGCGGCCACCTCCCTCAGTATGAACCTGCGCCGACGGACGGTACGCTTTCACGTGTCGTGTATTGTTTTTTGTCGTTTTTACGGTTCCGTACCCAAAGGGTAAAACGGGACCCTATCACTAAGACTCTGTCTGTCTATCACCAGGCTGTTTCTCGTGAACCATGAGTCAGACAGTTGCAATTTTAACAGATTATGTAATTCTGTTGCCGCTATAAAAACAAAATAAAAAATAATGAAGTGGCGCTCCCCTACAATAGACATGATTTTTTTGCCGTTTTTATAGAAAATGGTACGGAACCCTTCGTGCGCGAGTCCGACTCGCACTTGGCACTTATTTAAATTCAGATACTTGTTGTGTAAATTAAGTATTTTACGGCAGTTTTTTGGCTACTAAACACAAATAAAAAGAAAAGAATCACTTCAAGTCTGTAAGGTAAAATCGTTCACAGAGTACATGTATTGTTATCTATATAGTTATATACTCCACATAGGTCATTGAATGCCCATAGGACTCCACTGACATTGCCATCACAGGTGAGTCCTATGGGGATATCTGGTATAAATCCTAAATCGTAACCTTGAGCTTAATGACGCACACATCTAGAAATCAAACCTGCGACTACAGTAGAGTGTCAACACCGCAACCATTAGGTTCCATTTTGAACTAAGTACATTTATAATAATAAAATCAATACAAAGAAGAGAAATATTTAAATGGAATTTAATATAACAAGGCTCACTTCAAATCCATTTCCCTGATTCCGTCTCTGTACGCCTTTTCTATAGCACGTCTCATACTCCAGTCGGGGCCCATTAAAGTGAGTGCGCAGACGATCTTAGTGTATAGGACGCCAAGCGCCCAATCCTGCCACACGAAGAGAACGGGCGACTGCTCCAGCGGCACCCGTAGTGGTATCACCAGGACCTGTAATCACAAACGAATGTACATCGCTATTTTGGGTTTTTTAAGCCCATCCCTATTTAATCGTAAAATATTTAACTGCACTAGCTCTAGCAGTAATTGTTCAGATTTTGTCTGCGTTTACTTTGCGTTAATCGTGAACATCTATTCTCGGGGCGTCTTTGATATACATTACTTGCTATCCAAATATTAGGTTGGGAAAAAGTATTTTCACAAATAGTATGTATGTACTTATAATATAATCTCTTTGGCTATACCATTTGTATCTGACTGGTTTTGGTATCATTAAAAAGTTTAAATTCTAAACAAGATAATTCCAAATTCAAATTAGGAAAATGTGTGATTTTCTTTTGTTTTTCTTACTGTTAAGATGAGTGACTAATGAAAAAATTCGATAAATTTTAAATTTTTTCTACAAAAAAGGTCAAAATGCAAAGCAAGTCGCGAAAAAAAATTGTGATATTTATGGACCTAGTGCAGTGTGAGAGTAGCACAAATTTGGTTTAAGCGTTTTCAATCCGGAAATTTTGATGTCTAAAAATACACCTCGCTCTGGGCCCTATTACGGATAAAATGGATGGCATTTTTGAAAAAGTGGAGCAAGATCGACATATCAGTAGTTTCGATTTAGCTGAAGAACTGGGAATTGACCACAAAACAGTTATGGCGCATTTGAAAAAAGCTGGGTACACAAAAAGGATTTTCGGGTGCCTCATGAGCTCACTGAAAGAAACCTAATAAACCGTGTACTCATTTGTGATTATTTATTACGAAGTAATGAAACCGAACGATTTTTTTAAAAACCTGATAACTCTTGACGAAAAGTGGATCACGTACGACAAGAAAGTGCGAAAAAGGTCGTGGTCAAAGGCTGGTCAGACTTCAGGTTGACTCTGGCAAAAACCCGAATTACCTCGCAACAATGCTGTGTGTATAGTGGGATTGGAAGGGCATTATTCATTATCAGCTGTTACCGCTAAGCAGGACCATTGATTCTGAACTTTACTGCGTACAACTGATGAGCTTAAAGCAAGAAGTTGAGAGAAATCGACCAAAATTAATCAACAGAAGGTGTGTGGTTTTACATCATGATAACGCTAGATCTCACACATCTTTAGCCGCTCAGCAAAAATTAAGAGAGATTGGCTGGGAGGTGCTAATGCGTTCGCCGTATAGTCCTGACCTTGCACTTTCAGTTTTCCACTTGTTTCGGTCGCTTCAGAATTCTTTAGGTAGTGTCAGGTTAGAATCACGAGAGGACTGCCAAAGCCACTTGTCGCAGTTTTTTTGATCAGAAACCCCAGAATTTTTATAGCAATGGGATCATGTCCCTACCTACAAGATGGCAGAAACTTATCGAACAAAATGGAATATACATACTTTAGTTAAAGGTAAACAAACTTTATTTAAAAATGTTTTGAATTTTCATATGAAATACGAAGAAACTTTTTCCAACCTATTATGTTGTAGGCACTAATTAAATTCAATTTTAAGTCCGCATTTCCAACACTTGTACTAAAAGTTGCGCGATCACTTGAGCGGTGAGGTAGGTAAAACAAAATCAAGGCTGTGCGTCGTAATAAAAACACGAAAGGCCAACTCGTCGGTTATCAGGCAAGTGGTTGAACCACTTTTACTTTAGTAGCCACTTTAACCGTTTGATAGCGTGCGAGTCGGATACATGAAATGAAATCAATATATGTAGTCATCAGTTCGGATATTCGGATACGTATAATTTATATATTAGTATTCATTTAAATAATAAGATACCGTATGGTTCACATTTGATCGCGATATGGTTTGCTTAAACGCTGTACTATATAAGAACGGCGGGAACAAAATACCGCAAAAGAGTCAGTTTGTTGAGAGTTTGTTAAGTTGTCCGGTCTGAGTTTGTTGTAGCATTCTAAGGGGGCTGAGCTTTGTTCAACAGTGGACGTCTTCTAGCTGATGGTGATGACAATGATGATGACTGTGATGATCATGATCATGATGACTGTGATTGTGATGATTATGAATATGATGATCATAATGTCTAATGATGATAACGATGATATGCCGAGAGGGTATCAAGCGGTCCCCAGCCGTGCACCTGCTCCAGCAGCAGGCCGAACATGAGCGGCACAAGGCCGAGCAGCGCCAGGGCTGCCAAAGCTGCGCGCGCGGCGCGGTGCGCCCAGAGGGCGGCGCGCGCCACTAGCGCAGCCCTACCGCCTCGCGCCCAGCCCGCCGCCAGAGCACCGCCGCGCCCCGCAGCCCAGCACACGTACATGCCTGCCGACGATACAACTCCCTTTTTAACCGACTTCTACCGTATTTTCTTTTTTTTTATGTTTGTCACCTCAGAACTTTCGACTACGGGCGGACCGATTTTGGTGATTCTTTTTCTTTTTTTTTTTGAAAGCCGGTGCTTCCCACGTGGTCCCATATTGATTTCATTGGTATTGGACCTTGGGCTCCGGAGATACTTAAGGAACTTCGAAAAATCTATTACAAAATGAACACGGAGCGAGATACTTGAAGTCGGTTTAGGTTTTCGTTGATAAAAATGGACTTGTTCATGTGCATCTATTGCGGACCCATTAATTTCGACGTTTCACATATAGCATGCGTCGTGGGAAATCTCAATTTTTATCCATAAATATCTGCCATTCACCAATAAAATTTTACTTACAAACAAATCGAACTAACTGCCTGTACGATAATCAGCAGGCGAGTGAAACATTTTAAAAAGCAATACGGATAAAATTAACAAATTCCCCAAAACTCACCACAAGCGGCTGTGTATAATTCGTGAACGCCATCTGATGCTTTCGGAAGCTTCAAGGCCATCACTTTCCTGCCAATCGCTACTGGAATTACCTGAGGAATAGAAAAAAATAAATTGTTAAAATAACGAACACACACTACACTATGATTTGTACTGATTTATCCAACAATATCCAAAACGTTGCCAAGTATGAAACAGTTGTACGAATGGGCATGTCCTTGCTGATAAGTAACACGACCGGACAGAAGTTTAGTGTTACCCTATCATCTGCAACCCTACGGGTGTTGGAAACGTCAACGGGCGGCGGTGATAACTTAACATCGGGTGAGCCGCCAGCTCGTTTGCCACTTTCTCACATGAAAAAGCACAACTATGAATAAATTTACTTTTATTTTATTATTATATGCGAAAAGTTGTCAAACGAGCAGACGGTTCAACTGATGTTAAGTGAATACCGCCACCCATGGACATCTGCCACACCCGTAGGTTACAGATGCGTTGACAACCTTTTGACAATTGGGTATACTCGAAATACTTACCAAAGTGAGGGCGCTCGCCATCACCAGTGAGACAGACACGAGCACTAGTAGAGCGGCGAGACGCAGCGGGAACCAGGAAACCCGAACGTAGGGCTCGAAGCCGGCCGGCCCGTCCCGCCACACTAGCGCCTGCAGGTGAAGAAGTAACAATTGAGTCCATGCTAATATTATAAATGCGAAAGTAACTCTGTCTGTCTGTCTCGCTCTCACGCCGAAACTAACTAAATGAAATTTGGTACACGAATAGTGTAGAGCCTGAGAAAGGACATAGGTGTCAAGGATCATGAAATTTTTATACAAAAGTTGTGAAATATTAGCAGTTATGTTTATATTATAGAGAATGTGATATTAAAAAGTATTAGATAGGGCTCGACAAACGCTCACGCGACTAATTACGAAATCAATACACAAGTGTACAATATTAAGTGCATATACATTATTATCGTTGAAATATTTTATTTATTTAAAAATTAATCAATATATTTTTCATCTTATCTTTATTTATTTTATTTATTTATTAATCCTTTATGCACTAAAAGTACAACGCCGGACTTAATGCCTACTATCTTTATGTTTACCAAACTTTATCTTATCTAGTCTTGATGGCCCTCTAAGTGGGATATTCGAACCTTGACAACTGCATATATTTATTAATGTACCAAACACAAACCAATATAAATAGGGAAACAAAACAGTTCAGTAACTTTTTGTTTTCAAATGTTGACAAGTATTGAGTTCATCAACGACAAAATTAGAGCCGATAGAAAAAAGTTTCACTTTAAAAATGAAGATTCTCTGAACTATTTTCACATGCGTTAGTTAAATAGGTTTTAATAAGGTAGTTTCTCGTAACATCTCGTAACATCACTCAACCCACCTGGTGGGCGGCGCCGAGCTGGTGGGGCGGATGCGGCGGCGGATGGGGCTCGCTGTCCCTGGAGGCCTCGCCGAGCAGGTATGAGCGGAGCCCTAGGGCTCCGGCGGCGCACGCGCACCACGCCCGGAGCCCCGCCTTCAGCCAGGTGCGCGTGTGCGACTGCTCCAAGAGAGCCGGGAGTATCACCTTGAAACAATAATGGAAATTTTAATTCATCTGACCATCAACTTGTTGAGGAGTATCATTCTCCCTGAGGCAAGTACTGAGCCAATTAGTACATGTCGATTTTCGTATTTGTATCGTGGGCGCCTTTAATGATTGGATTTGGATGACGCTTTAGTTTAATATTACTATATATTATATTATTTTTATACTGTCGGAGCTACCACAGATACAAAGCTACATTTCCCGGGCGGACGGTAGACCCATCGAGACAATGCACGGGTAATGGAGTTCGATTCCCCGATACGCAGTGTAGACGACAAAGTGTTATTGTTGTAAATGAATACCGGAAGAAATAGAAAAAGACCAACCTTTTATAGTGTTGCCCTCCGTTTACCTCAGTCACGGGAAGAAACGTAGAATAATAAACACTTAATTTCCTTCGAACTTCATCAACAAAAAAGGATGAATGAGTCGAGAGAGATGACTAGAATGATGAGCGGTGGAGAAGAATGGTCGAGGAAGACAAGTGCCGGCCCCAACTAGGTTAGAGGATGGTTTCTCATCGACCTTCAATGACTGTGATTGGAGTTTTTTCATCAAACTAAAACTAAATACAAGATAAATCAACATACGAGGATAATCGACGTTGAGAGCGGTTGAAAGATCGGCATGTCGTCAGTTCAATCGCCGAAAAAACCGTCCAATGTGCAAATATTACATGACGGTGGTCTCTTGGGGCTCGACCCTGTCATGAAAAATCTAAAGCCGACACTCGAGGCTATCTCAGTAAAAGGTGATATAAAAAGTACTAGCTCTATGAAAGTATATAGAATATATATTCTAATTTTTACACATGTATTACATATAAATGTAAAAATGAGAATAAGTAAGCGTTTATATTCTCTTTTTCACATTATTGTCTTCATTATAGCCCGAAATAGTTGTTCTTCCACTAGTTGGGTTCCTATGTGTATTTGGGTTCCAAATGTGAAGTGAGTGTCCGAAATCCCTACATGAAACAATGATTTTTCACTAACAGTATCTAAGTCCGTAACGAGTCCGTAACTAAAACTATCTATGTACTTTATTACCAAATAAATGAAATGAACGGGAACACTACGAATGGATTTCTGGTTTCTGGGAAATGGTAATCGTGAAATAATATAAAAAAAATCCTGCTGATTATTTCCGAGGATTTATCAGTTGTGGTTTATTATTTTATTTTGATGTACACAAATGACTCGCTACCATTCAAAAGGGCAATGTATTAATAAATGCGTTCAAGTGCTGGCCTTGGGTTGTTTAGTTATGTATGAATTGTATCAAAGTATTCCGATAAGGATGTCATTGGATTTCAGAACAGGTTTTTGTAATTACTCAAAGATATTCATTGCACTGAGAAAACTTAAAAATTGTAATTGTTCAACCTTGAAGATATAAAAAAGGTGAACCACAATAAATAGGCACGTTTAGTATTCATAGGAATAATCTTATGCAAATGTCACTTCGCGATACATTGTTAGAAGTAGAAACATTCTTGGGCATGATTGCAGCAAAGTAAAATTCGTAAAAATAGTGACATACAAAAACAATATAGTACTCGGGAAAACAAGATAACAACACGTCCGTATGTTTACTAGAATGTATCACCTTTTGACATTGTTTTGTAAAATTCAATCTAAACCTTTCTTGATCCGAAAACCTATATATATATATATATATATATATATATATATATATATATATATATATATATATATATATATATATATAATAATATATCAATACCAGCTATATAACAATACAACATAATCAAAGCGCGGGGAATAAGATTTTTTTAAAGACATCGTTGACTAGAATAAGCTTAACGTAGTTTTTCGTCGGCCACATATAGGTCACTTAACGCGGCAATTGAAATGGTAAAACGGGAAGACTACGTCTACCTATGGCCAAATATTAGCCCGTTGGTAATTCTATAAAAACCTTAGTATATTTTTTGATAAAACTATTACAACTGTTTCGAAAAGTTCAAAGCGTTTTGTCTCGAGAGAAAAAGTGTCATCTGGCACAATTCGTAGGGGAATAAAATTCGAAAATGTCTAGTCAACAAGACCACTGTAATAGACTATTCTTGGTCAAGCCTAAACAAAACTATTCACATAATGTTCCACGTAACTAAAATAAGGGAGAGCTATAATGTACTCTTCTCACATTTTTTGAAAAATTTCGATTAGGAGCGTGTTCTATCCGATATGTGATAACGAAAATGGGAGATATTAACACACGCTATTAGATTCGACGCCATTTTTTTACATGTAATTAAGGAAGGAAGTACGGTGGGATCATTAACCCGTCAAAACGTGGTCGTTGATGATTATCGTAGGTCGTAGATCGGACAATCGAAAATCCGGATAATACTTTTTTTAAAATTGAATATGACTGAAGGACCTTTTCCACCGTATTTTAGTATTTTATTTTCGTTTTCTTGACGCCTTTGGCAATTAACCGCGAATGCATGGAGATTCAAATAATAGACGTGTTACTTACTGTAAGTAGATTTTATTTCTTGCAAGCGAACTGGTGGTTAACCTTATTGAGTGATAACCACAGTATATGGATAATTAGCAGCATCCGTAAAGTTGCAGATTGCTTTGCCACCATTTTTAATAAGGAAAGCCCCTTTTACCTCACTCACCAGACAAAATTGCGAAGTATAACACTTGCAATTTACTCCGGGCTCCTGTTAGGTCATGGTACTTTCCCCGACGATCCTATACGTTCGTGCAAAAATGTGTCTCATGGCGCAGTTGACAAGATATCGGCTTCAGCACCGACAGTCGTGGGTTCGATTCCCACACGGGACAACTATTGTAGAACCCACCGGTAATTATTTCCGAACGTCCTTAGAACACAATGCATATAAAAAAAATATATTTATCCTTCGAGAATTTCATTCGCGATATTACACGGTTAGACGATGGCAGCCGTGATAACTCGGCGCCCGGGCTCTCGCCTTGAATTGAATATACTCGAGCAACCTCAGTTCGATCCCCGATGCCGGCAACAATGGAATTGTTAATTTCAAGTGCTGACTTACAACGTGCTCAGCGGCGAAGGAAAACATCGTGAGTATGCATATTACGTATGTGCATACTCACGATGTTTTCCTATGTGTGCATATTTATCGAAATAATAAAAATAAATTTTCGAAGATAAGTGGAGTACGCCAATCCGCAGTGGGGCCGCGTGGTGGACTAGCCCTGACCCACTATGCAGCGGCCTTTGCCCAGCAGTGGGACATGTACAGGCTGTTACTTTACTTAAACAGGCGGTTTCTTTGGGGACTAGCTCACCTGCAGCAGCAGCAACTCCAAGCTGAGCTCGTTCACCGGCGCCTCCGTGTGGACGGCCACGGCGTACGGCAGGAAACCGGGCAGCGTGTACTTGATCACGCGTATCGGCAGCCACAGCATGAAGAGCACCGCCGTCCCGAAGATCATAGCGGACACCACCAGCCGCCGGATGTGCGACCACACGGAGAGGTGGATCATCTCCTGCGGTGGCGGGACCGGTCGTGAGCGAAACCGTCGCGATAGAGTGCGACAACTCGCGTGAACACGACTATGTAACCAGTAGTTAGGGATACGTCCCTAAATGCATGTTGAAAAAACACTACTGCGACAGCTCGCGTGAAAGCGACAGAGAAACCACTAGTAAGGGATACGGTCCCTGAATGCATGTGTGTTTTATGAATACACGACATATCCTAGAAGACGTCCCCATGTCAACTGAATGCCAGTTGGCTTGATCTGCTATTAAAGGAACTTAAAATGTATAAATACTCTAAGGAACTCTATGTACGATTAAAAGCCTGGATAGCACAAATGTAATTTAATAATAGATTGATGAAATAAAACGGCAATAGCTACAAGACCTATTTACTTGAACATGACGACCCGAATGGCGTAGTCGGTAGTGTACCTGCCTTCTGCGCCAGAGGGTGTGGGTTCGATTCCCACTACTGGAAAAATATTGTGTGATGAGCATAGTGTTTTTTCTAGTGTCTGGGTGTTTATATATGTATAATGTGTATTTATTTACAAAAGAAAAGTATGTTTAAGTATGTCTATTAGTTTTCTAGTACCCATAGTACAAGCATTGCTTAGTTTGGGACTAGAGAACGTTGTGTAAAAAGAATGTGTTAAATTAAATTAATTTATCTATCTGTTAAAATTAAATTAATTTATCTAGTGTGAAATTGTTTGTGTTGAGTTGGGCCAATACCAATATATATTGAACCTAAAACCAAACTGTATACAGCTCTATATATTTATAATACATAACTGACACAAGCTTTTACTACTTTAATGTCTATTGGGTTCAGCGATCTGTTTAGCTTATCAAATCCCAAAGGTGAAAGGTTAAGCCTTGCGCTGATATAGAAGAACTATTTTTCTAACTACTCATTAGTGAAGGACACAAACCTTTTACCTCACATTTAGATTTTTCCATTATGACAATTTCAGTATAAAATTAATTTATTGATAAAAATTAATTTTAAAACAAAAGATTGTACTTTATTTTATTTAGAATATGTTTAAAAAAACTACAGCTCACAGTGATAATAGAGCTCCTTGTACACATTTTTCATAGTCATGATTATATATTGCATTCAATGCTATCTCCCCCTTATCTAACTTAAAGCGGAATGGAATACACAAACACTTAATTAAAATGAAAATACAAATGTATAAAAATATTTTACATAACTGCCGAAGAATTGACATGAAGTTTTGTTAAGTTTGTTTTAAATTGCAATTTACTGTCATAAAAATCATGAGCATTTCGAAATAATGATCTTCACAAAATTTCTTTAATGCAGCGGCACATAATATATTATTAATGCTACAGGAAGAAATTCTACTAGTTAAATTACAGTCGTGACATATTAAACAAAAATAGAATTTACACACTGACCCTGAAACACAGATCCAGTCATTTTACGATAACTTTATAAAAAAATTAATGAATATAATGAAGGAATTCACTATTTTTCTATGTGACATTTTTTGCACATGTAGATGTCATATTAAAAGAAGATTAAGTGATTAATATGTAATTTTGAAGGGATTGATATGTCCTGATCTGATAAAACCCTGAATACCTACAAGATCAAATATAAGTAATACATAGTAAGAGGTGTAAATAATGACAAAGGAATAGATTTTTAACAAAAATGAACTAGAATATATTATTTATATTTGTATGATTACAAAAGTAATGCTTTTTGTCTCTTAAGTCTTCAATGATATATGTATAGGCACCTCAACTTCATTTGAAAAATTCAATCTAAAAGACATATATACATATAACTTGACACATAAATTGATTTATTCCTAGTTCAGCACCAATTCATCACTTACACCTGGTTTCTTAAACACTGATCATCATAGAAATTAACTAATCATCTGTCAAATGGGTTTTCAAATGTCATTTGGGTTGGCAAAAGCATGGTTAAACTCTCCGAATTGATCAGAATGATCTGAAGATCACGGTTTCAGAAACCGGATGTAAGTGTTGGCATAAGAGAAAAAAGGCTCATATCACAAATGTTACTTACTCCACAACAAACAACTGTTAGGCAGCTTAAAATCAAGTAGTTACATATTGTTTTAAGTCTGGACTGACCTGGACTGGACTGAAGTCGGGATCATTCAGATTCTTCAAGAACCACAAGACTCCAGGTCTCAGCACCTCTCTTAGGAGCAGTATGAATGATGCAAAGTAATACACATAGACCATCCCCACGAGCCAGTGTATGAACATCAAAGTCCAAGGAGCAGCATGAAGACTAGCCTCTCTGTCCTTAAGGCTTGCATTGAACATTGACAGAGAGCAGAGATCTAGCCACCAACCACATACAAGAGGAATAACACCAATCTACAAGGTTAAAATAAAAAGAATTATAAATTTACCCTTACTGTAGTCCTTCCAAAATTCAAAAATTTCAGTAAAATAATCATCATCATATTTAGTTCACAATTAAATAATTGATCAAAGAATAATGGTTACAAGTTATTTATCATTTTGAAAAACATTCAAACATTATAACACATATTATTAATAACTTACCTCCACAACAGATAGTAGTGCAACCTTCACTACAACATAGCAGAAACCTACACCCCTCTTTGCACAGCGTAAACGAAATAGAGATGCCATACAGTGAAGAACGGCTAATATGGCTCCAACTAAAACATATCCAGCTAAAGCCGTTAATGGGCCAGCAAATGGTCCCTCTGCAGTGAGCCCAGCAAGTGCAGCTCCCAGTCTTCCAATATGATAGGGACAAAATGCAAACACAACAATGAAAAGAGTATTTAGGGATACAACCCAAAATACATGTTCCAAAAACACCATGGAACCATCTAATCCTAGGAGACGTCCCCATGTTAATTCCTCAACTGCCGCTCGGTCCCACTCCATTGGATTCCAGTTAGCTTCATCTGCTACTAAAAGATCTTCTGCATTTCCATTCCCTTCTTCTCTGACAGCTCCATCTTCTCCAGGAGCCTCGTTAATACGATCATTGTTATTATCGGGCAATGGAATTTCCTCTGCAGCCGGGGCCGGCAGATTTTCTCTTTCCATCCAATCTGGCCCTCCCCCATGCATAATCTGCTCACGGAGCCAAACAAGCCCAATAAAAGAGAATAATGTGCATGTTACTACAAAGCAGCCTGAGAACACATCCTTTGCGAGATTTTCTGCTGACACAATATCAAAAGGCAGAGATATGACAGGGTCTAAGGAACCCGAAAACAAACACCGATAGGTTCTACAAGCAGTTAAAGGAACAATCCCTAGCCAAGCAAGGGCTACCAGTGTGTAATGTAGCCAATCCTTTACTGCCGACGCAACTGAAGTGACAAGCCCGCCCACAACATCCCGTATTGGCAGACGGCGTGGCATATCAGGTGAATATATAGGCATAAAAGAGAAGCGATGACCGCATAACTCGCAAATTTCTTTTCTGGAGTATCGCATCCATTGTACTAAACATTCCTGATGAATCCATTTTATAGAACCGGTGCAAATGCAGGGATGAAATAATGGCCGATCAGAAGAAGCCTCTGACCTACAGAAGCGACAGAAGTCCGCACCGGACGAGTCCGAATCCATCGTTGTTCTCAGTCCAGTTTGCCAGGCGTATTAGACGATCTGCGAAAGTTGACACGAAGAAGTCACAAATTATTCACAATCACTTATTGCCACTGAATATATGGATCTATAGCAAGACGACCATACCTTACTATCCATAAAAAATACAACTACAGGAGATAACAATAGATTTTTAGCGAAATGAGATTAAATATTTGTTTGTTAAAAAACCATACGATTATTGCCAGAACAGAAAGCCAAATTGCTTTTTCCTGCCATGGCAGCTGTCGTAAACTTTCTGCCACTGTCAAAGTTAAGATCTAAAATAATATTTATATCGAACTTTAGACATTTTTCGTATTTCAAACTAAGCATAAAAGAAACTAATAATGATATCATAAAAGTGAAGCATAAAGCACATTAAACGCACCATTCAAACGTAGAAACTAAACTTCACTCAATTAACATTTTTTTTAATTTATTTGAATGAACGGTTAATCTAAATTTTGTAATACTCGTGTAAAGAGTGTCCACAAAAAATATTTAATCAGGAAGTTTTTAATTAGAATTTAAAACAAATTAATAAATTAATGAAGAATATGATAGGAACGTCGAATTATGATAACAATTAACGTCACAAGAAGTCAATGTCCGTGACAGGACAGTGCTGTGCCGACTGACATGTCTTTTTTAAATTATCGGAATGTAAGACACGTAGTAAACATAAACAACATTAATTTAAGATTTCTAAATATCTAACTTTTATTTATTTCTGTCTTCGCATTGTATGTTGTCAATATCTAATGAATACCTAACTGTGTAAATTTTTTAATTTTCAATATTTATCATACTTTTATAAGAAGTACATATCTTTAATTTACATTTATATTTACAGATATGATGAAATAATCCACTTTAAACGTGGGAAAAGTTCTGTGATAAATATGAATTCTTCCAAAGAGACTATAATAAAAATTGACAGTGTTAAGGAGAGCACGAAAGCGGAAATTAACATTTTATGCTTTGATATAACACCTTACAGTCAACTTGTACAATTTTTGTGTTGTTCCATATTTGTATTTATATGCTATTTAGCATATGGATATTTTCTAGAGCTTATATTCTCTGGGGCCGAGGTGAAACCTGTTAGCCTTTATATAACTTTAGTACAATTTTTTATTACAATGCTTCTAAGTTATATGGAGTCCTTGATAAGAAATCCAATCAAAAGGAAGTAAGTATTTACATATGTAATTCTAAAATAGATACTTTGATTTGTGTTCAGTGAAATATTAAGGTTAGCACTTTAGTTACAATTGAGTTTTTAAAATTGTTTCCAAATGTTACAAGGTCTATAACATGTTTTGCAGAATGGCTTTGCTTTAGTATACGGTAGCACGATATGTGGTATAATTTTAATAGGTAGGTAATAAGTCATTGAAATAAATACTGGTAAGATTTATGCGGAAACTTATTTTTCGAGAAATAACTTTTTTTAAGATTTTAGGCTAACTACTAGGAATAGCTTAGAATAGTACTTTTTCGGCTTTCGCCCCAAGAGATTTACATAATTACATTCTAAAGCTATTCTAAATTTGATGACTCCATGGCACAGTTGCCAAGGTTTTGGCTTCGGCCTTGGGGGTCAAGGTTCTATACCCTCACGTAACAACTATTTGTCTTGTATTACTATTGTAACTATTTGTACTATTTGTATTGAGTCATAGATAGTTATTTCGAAATTCATGTTTGTAAATCATCCTTACAAAACAGGATAATATCCCAAAATTAAAAAAAAAAAGAACGCATTAGAAAGAGACAACTTAATGGTTATATCTCCTTTTAACACATATAATTCCAGACCTGAAATTTATTTTAATGGTCTTTCAAGTAGGTAAAGTTTTTTGAAATCATCATGGTTGACAGAATGATTGGTTGACATGATTCAGAGCAATCCAACTCGGACAGGTTAGTATAGAAAGAGCTCCGCTCCCGCATTAGCCTGTGTTTAATTTTTTATAACCACTCAGAAATAGAGCCCCACATAGTGGGGCTAAGGAGAGCCTCATGATTCTAAATATATATACAGCGTGTCGTTACCATCGCGACAATAAATGAACACACGTGTAATGCTACTTGCCAATAATCATAAAAAAATGTTAACGTTAAACAAAATCCATAATTAAAAGAAAATATTTTTGAAACAAACTAATTAAATAAAAAAGAAATAAACTTTGTAACATCCTATACAACTCGCGCCAAAGCGTCGCATTACAAGCTTCTCCTTCTAACAGTATGTTTTGTCTCTTTTAAATTCATTCAACCCATTCATATGCTTTGTGACCTTTACAAATGAACTTTACGTTACAGTTTTATAAGTAAGGGTGTTCTAAAATTCTTTGTTTTGGAAAATTTAATAACTCTGTAAATATTGATGTTTAAAGAATGTAAATGTTTAATACAATTTTAAAAAGTTATCCCCTGTATGTGTGTTCATTTATTGTCGCGATTGTAAGGAAACGCTATATATATATATATAGCGTATATATATATATAGCGTTTCCTTACAATATATAATACACACACCAACACAAACCGCACTCGCCGGCGAGTGCGGCAAACATATACTAGGTTCCGCCACGTACCTGGCAGGTTCTCCCCAGTTCAAGATAGAAGCGTTGCTGGAGTTTCTTCCACCACTTCTTCTCCCAGCGCCAACGCTTTACGAAATGGTAGTAACGATAGGTCTAGAGATCCCCCAGTCAGATAACAGCTACCGATCGAGCCGAGGTCCGGCCCTCTCGGGCACCCTCGAATCGGAATGCTAAACGCGTGTTGAGTGACAGCCCAAGCCGAGGTCCCCTCTCGGGGATCCTTGCGCCTGATCACTCCATGGAGCCCCCGCCAAAGCGCCCTAAGAGCTTGGCGGCCTCCCAAACCGCGTGACGGCCCGAGCCGAGGTTCCTTCGGGAGCCCTCGAGCTTAGTCACCATAACGCGTAATAATAAATACGCGAGGTTCAGGCTAGGCGCCTCGAGCGCCCGGCCACCTCAAGTCCGTCGGAACTGTAAAGGCCCCTAAGGCCAACAGTGGCTCATAAAGCCCAAAAAAAAAAAAACTATATATATATATATATATATATATATATATATATATATATATATATATATATAGGTTACATTTCCGCACCCTCGTACCCCCCCCCCCCCCCCCCCCTCCTATAGGGGTTCACCATTATAAATATATTAATACCCAGACACTTTTTTAGACTTTTTTTGGTATGTGTATTATTTTCACAAGCAATTTCAAATAATGGTGAATCTTAATGTATAATTTCAGAGTACCACTGAAGACCTATGCAATTTTGGCAGCATTGACTCTTGGCACAATGTCACTCTCTAATTTAGCTCTAAGTTACCTCAATTATCCAACTCAACTGATATTCAAAAGTTGTAAGCTCATTCCTGTGATGATAGGCAGTATTATTATTTTGGGCAAGAGATATGGCTTTTTAGACTATCTGGCTGCTATTATAATGTGCATTGGCTTGACAATGTTCACTTTAGGTAAGTACTTGATTAACATTCACAGTTCATAGTGTTTTATTATTTTACTTTGGTGTTTATTTCTTTAAAGATATTCATTTAACATTATATGTGACTTGTAAAATGAAGTCTACATTACACAAGTAATATACATATTTAATTGGTAAAGGATAACCATACCAATATAACTAATAATTCTCATTGCAGACATTCTTTATTCATACATTCAATTCTTGTAAACGACTAAAAATATGTTGACCATATCATTAAAAAGTAACAACATAATGTTATTTAATGTAATAATTTTTACTAGTAGATTGATTCATACAAATTACTTGAAGTTTGTGCCTATACAAACTTCAACTTAGATAACAACTGTTATCTTTGTACATTGGCTAATTATACATTCTTTTAGCTTGATAACCGTTAGATAACTTGAATTTTAGAAATTCAAATAAACTTTATGCAAATATTTCAGTGAAAATTACTTAAAGGTACATTATACAATTATTTATTTTAAGTGAACATACTAATAGAACTTTAATTTTAACTTCTTACTATTCCTGTGTTGCTATGTTACATGATTTTAAACCCCTTCTCTTTCATTTGCAATGTGATGCTTTATTTTCTCATTTCATATTATGAGAAAATTAAGCAACACTACTAATATACTCCTAATATTAAAAAACTAATATTTTGAATAATATAAAACTTATATGAACTACATAACCACATTGGCAGAAAAGTATTTGCAAAATGGGGTGTTTTTATTTTAATTGAATGTGATAAAACCTGTGCCATAAAAACAATTCATTTAAAAATGTATACATACTTAATACGGTCATTGTTAAAAAATGTGTAGATAATTAATATGTTCACTGTCCTCACAGCGGATTCGAAAACGTCGCCGAACTTCGATGCTGTGGGTGTGCTGGTGATATCTCTGGCGCTGCTCTGCGACGCTATAATTGGAAACGTCCAAGAGAAGGCGATGAGGCAGTTCCACGCCACCAACAACGAGGTGGTGTTCTATTCGTATGCTATTGGATGCTGCTACCTCCTGGCCATTACGGGTGCCAGTGGGATATTCGTAGATGGATTTTCATACTGCTCAAAGGTGAATATAAAGTAAAGTAACAGCCTATACATGTCCCACTGCTGGGTAAAGGTCTCCTCTATACAGAGGGTATCAGGGCATAGTCCACCACGCGGCCCCACTGCGTATTGGCGGACTTCACATATCTTCAAAATATATATATTTTTTGTTATTATTTCGAAAATATGCAGGTTTCCTCACGATGTTTTCCTTCACCGCGGAGCACGTGATAAGTCAGCACTTAAAGTTAAAAACTTCATTGGTGCCGGCACCGGGGATCGAACTCAGGTTGCTCGAGTATATTGAATTAAAGGCGCACGCCCGGACACTGAGGTATCACGGTGAGCTCAAGCTGAATATAATTGTATGAAATATTTGACACCGTAGATGTTTATTGACTTCGTATTTGCTTTCCATGGGAAATATTGTTTATGTATGTTTATATTTTTTGGATGTAAAACGTTTATTGGCGTGCCTTGGCAGTAAAATCGAACCGTATGGTGCCATGCCTTTACTGCCGCTCTCGACTCTTGTTGCGTGTGTGCGCATACTAGACGCTGGGTTTTTTTTTAATGTAATGGTCTGAGCAACCAGTCCTCACGATAGTAAGTGAGACGCCTATGGATACTAACAGCAACCAGGATGTTGATCGTATCTTGTCCACCATCGACGAAGTGAGTCACCGGTCACCTCACTTGGCGGGGGAAATCGAATTCGGTATTTGTCCGGCCGAGCTTACGTAATCGTTTATGTATGTATCGAGCAACCTTTGGTTCAATTAAATAAATCCCCGACTTTTCACATACTCAGCGGTGAAGAAAAACATGGGGAAACCTGCATATATTCCAAATAATAAAAAAAAATATTTCACTGATATGTGTAGTCTGCCAATACCCTCTACATAGTACATAGTATAAAAACAGAGTCGTCCCGCTGTCTGTCTGTCCCTATATATGCTTAGATCTTTAAAACTACGCAACGGATCTTGATGCGTTTTTTTTTACCAGATAGAGTGATTCAAGATATATACAATACATCGCAGGTTTCTAAATAATACATCATCGCTATTTACGTAATAAACTGTTCACCGACAGAACCCAGCGGCGATGTACACAAACATCTTCCTGCTGAGCGTGAGCGGCTACATGGGCCTGCAGGCGGTGCTGACGCTGGTGAGGATATGCGGTGCGACGGTGGCGGTCACCGTCACCACGATGAGGAAGGCGCTCTCCATCATCATATCGTTCCTCCTGTTCAGCAAGCCGTTCGTCTTCCAGTGAGTGCGAGTCGATCTTGTTCTCTCTCCCTATCTTTGACTGTACATGTAACGTGTTATGAATTATAAAAGAAAAATATGGTTTATTAGGATAATTAAAATATATTAGAAAAAAATTAAAGCTTAGAAAAGAAAAAAAAATTTTTTGTAAACTTTATGATATGTTAAATTCTAATCTTACTCTTATTACTCTTGAAAGAACACAGTCAAATTCTATAGAATTTTTTCGAAGAATATTAATTATTCGTAGTAAAAGGATTTTTTTACAGATACAATCAAACTTCTTAAAAAACCTTCCTCCTATACCGCACTTGCTCGTGTGTGAACAGTTTGCGTTGTGGTATTATTACGCGTGACCAACATTGTTTGCTTAGACATTTTTGAGCGTGATTACAAGTACATATTAAAAAAAACCTACGCACGTTGACAAGTACGTGTCACAACAGTTCCCATGAATGAGCGAGTAGCGTAGCGCTTTGCGTCTGTAAATGCGGAGAAGCAAAACAATATTTTTGATGGATGTGGTAACCAGAGCTAACTTAGGTATTCATAATTTAAGTTAACACGCCTTGAGACAAATGAAATTGAGACACATGTTTTAAGGAAAAATGAACAATATATGATAGCACCTGACGTTACAGCGTGATGCATTTTATTTTAATTAATGCATGTAATAATTTCAGGTACGCGTGGTCGGGAATGTTGGTTGGGCTGGCGATATATTTGAACCATTACAGCAAGAAGCACCCACATTATGTGCCCATGCCGCTTCTCATTTGTTGGCACTATCTACAGTCTTTCTACCAATCTGAATATAGGTATCTTAGGATGAAGAGCAAGATATACGCTGACACTGTATAATGACATTATTTTTTGTGTAGAAAATAATTGAAATATGCAAATATAATCATTTTCGGACTTGTTCGAAACTGAACAACGCCATGTATCCAACATTAGTTTCAAGTTTGTGTTTTTGTTTTACTTCTTATTAGTTTTAAACCAGACATGGGCAATAAGAAAAAGGCCTTCTTTAGAAACAATAAATGTTGGTCCTTTTCGTCAGGATATCATTTTACTAAATTTTATTGCAGTATACTTTTATTATTTATGTACCCTATATAGTATTCATTACAGAAGAACATATATATGTCAACCCATATTAGTATGAATTAGACTTATAAATAAAAAATGTAACTTGTATTTTGTTCATTAATTTAAAGCTTAATGTAGATATTAATATTTAAATATAAATTTTAAATTTAGATAAAATTTATTATTAAATCAATCTATTAAAATATAGTCTTAGCCTAATCTAATATACGTCTATATAATATGCTGTATACTATATTTTTATTACGTAGCACATATCTTAAAATGTAATATAATAAACGATTACCAATCGGAGTAATATGTTTACGAAAGATAAATCATATTTGTATCATAAAGCGTGGTTATAAAACTACTTCATTTATTTATTATGAAAATTGGTTACAATTTGACTTTACCAAATATCGAAAAAAGTAATCATTAGCCTAAGCTGAGTGTTAGTCATAATAACTATATAAAAATGTAAGGTCAACCTATAATAGAGTGATAATTATAGAAATACTAGTGACCCGCCCTGGCTTCGCAATGTACAATACATATAACCTTCCTCTTGAATCACTCTATCTAGTAAAAAAACACCGCATCAAGATCCGTTCCGTAGTTTTAAAGATCTAAGCATACATAGGGACAGACAGACAGCGGGATGACTTAGTTTTATACTATGTAGTGATTATAAAAGTTTGCTCTAGATGAACTCCATATTATAATTTTTAATTTTCGACTTTCAAGCAGATTCCGATCACGGTTTTAGATTGAATTCTTTACTTGTTTAGTTAGGACCTGTTAAGATCCATTAAAATGGTGGTAACTTGTGAAAAACTGTCCAGCTCGTGAAAACTGAGTGCAATGAAGGGCAAACGTCAATGGCGCCTTTACAGCGGGAATATAAGTTCCTTTTATAATTTTAAAATATGTTAGTAGCATACTAACATATTTAAAAACTGTATGATGCGTTATGTGCATCACATTATGGTCACAAAACACTATCATCATTGTATCATAATAATAATACTGAATAGTAATATTTTGAAGAGTTCCTTTTAAACGAGTTTAGATATACCTACGAGTAAGTGCTGTAAATTAATTAAATAAAAATTTCAACAGTATGTAATCATAACGATTTTTTTTTCAGAAGCTATATTGATAGACTAAATCATTTAATATTATATTTAAATAAAACGCACTGTTGCTTTTATGGACCTGTAATTGCATTTTGTATTACATTTTGATATAATACTTGTTAAATTACGAATCGTGTATTAGTCTCTGATTTGATATCAATAAGTTTTCGAGATAGAAAACCTTACATGTTCTTTCAAAAGCTTTTACCGAATGTATATATTTATACAAATTACATATTTTTTTATACTTAAAGTTTTTTATTTTACTTATAATAGTTGAGAAGCTGCGGTTTCATATTGTGTATTAAAGCTGATATCCACAGTTAGCCATCTATTTGGAAGCTTTGCCGAAATAAGAAATATATTTATATATCTTATACAGCGTGATTTTTAAATTAAGTGCATACTTTGACATAATGTTAATTGACCATTCCATAATTAAAAAAAATATTATTATTTTATTTTGACAAGAAATAACCAGAAAAATATCAATACAAACATTGTTTGTTTGTCCCGTTAAGAGTGGTCATTCTACAGATTGCAACAAATCAAACAGCGAATAGCAACGGCACAGTGAGATCAGCGGGTAGGTTGTATTGAAGACCGGAAGACCGGTTTATTGTAAGGCAGGAATTTCTAATAGGGTGTCCATAATGTTTGAAAAAATTATTAATTTTAATATTCGTCTATAAAATCACCCTGTAGTAACCGAGACAAAGCTCATTCTATTTATACAAATTTTAAGAAAACATTTGACAGACGGTTATGGCACGACGAACTGGACGCATTTGTGAGGGATTGGTCCGATATAACCCACGACAGGAAGAAGTGGCGGAGGCCTTAGCCCAACAGTGGGACACTAATGGCTGATAAAGTAAAGTAATTTGACAAAGTAAATCACCTTTATTAATAAAAAATAAAGATCTCAAATAATTACTGTAAAAAGCTTCATATCTTAACCAACTCTAGCGACTTCAGGTGTACCATAGGGTCCCAAGGTAGGTTAGTAATGAACCTACTCTTATTTATCAATTATCTTGTGTCCCATTTATCCTTACATTTCATTTTGTGTTCGGACGATTTTAAAATTAGTATTAATAGCAATGGGTTATGGTATAAATTATATCATATCGTATAATTTTTACGGTGGTACGGCCACACAGCAGCCTCAGATGTTGCACGACTTTCAATGTTCTATTAATCATATCGACTTGGATTGCAAATCTGCGACCTGCTGACTCCACGCAATCATTTAGAGATCATTACGATTGCTCAATACTTGCTCAATACTTTTAACAAGAAGTTAATGTTTATTTTAGGATGTTTTAAAGGTTTAAAAAAGTACGAATTAAAGCTCTAATATATATTTTTGTATGCCCACATTACAAAACTGCAGGTCACTGGTGCTGGATATTTTAGGTGACGATTTCTTCATGCTCAACCGGAGATTGAAAGCTGCTTTAAATGTTTCTCGGCCTTGTAATGTTCACTTTTAAGTAATCATGTTTGATCACAAATATTTACTCAATTTTTTATACCAAACATACACCGTTAATTATACTACGTAATTACAACACGCGTATACGCTTGATTTGTTTGGCAGGTATCATAAGTCCCAGAACATTACCTTTAACTATTATTTTATTTTATTATTTAACATTTATTTTCTTATATAACTTATAATATATACTTACTACTACTTATCTTATATATATACTTGTTTAATAGATAGGCACATGGCTTATAGCATACTCGCATGTTATCGATTTTATAAGGTGATTTCGTCATCATTGTGAAGCAGGCAGTGTCATACACTATACTGTCAGCGTTATTGGCGTGAATAACTAAATCACTTTCGGTTTACTAAAGTTTTTCATTTAATTTGTTAGTTTAGTTTTGGTTATAAATATCAAAAGATTCTTAAAATTTCAATAAAACCTTTATTAAATGAATAATGATCGGCAAAGGTGAGATCCTTGCTGACTACCACATCAGCAAAACTAAGTAAGCATGCAGGTAGATAAAATAAACTTGAAGGATAACAAATGAAAACTACCATTATATCAATGACATTTATTTCATTGTATGTACAAAATCTTACAAACCTAATCGTTTTCATACAAAAGTGTCCAAATTTAAAGTGTTTCGAATATTTGGAATGTTATTTAAGACACTATTCTCAATGCTTTTATACAATCTCTAGGTCGATGAAAATGATTAAGTGATTAAAGCACAGTGTTTAGTACTTCTGCAAGGCGACAAAAGTAACGCAATTTAGTTAGTGTTAACATTAATTGATGCGAACGCGTTGTCAATTTGTCAGTCGTTAAAGAGTTTACTAACAATTTTACATAAACCATTATGATACATTATAGTTGTATAATTGTCAAAATTGAGGTTATCCATTGGTCGAACGGTGTTTTACGGGTCTTGTGAACTTATGCTAGAAATTAAATATGTTGCCTCTAAATTTAATCGCTCTTAATGTATAAAAACTCTTTGGTATATGGTCCTAAGGCTAGTTTTTTACACAACTGTTGGTAGTTGGCCCCTTTGCAGCTATAAAAATGAGCAAATATATTCAACAACGATTGTAGAGGCACTGATTACTCACAATGTTTATTAAAAAAGGTATTCATTGTGCAAAGGAGCCGCAGTTTAATTGAGAGCAGGGTAAATTACTGTGAACTTTATACTGCATACGAATAATGGTCAGATTCAAATGGCGATAGAAAAATGTCAGTCTTAATAAAGTTATGTATACAAGTGTCATGTTAGAACAAATAAGATATATTAATACATAGTATATTTTCAATTAAAATAAAATGTCATCCATAGATTATAGGATTGTAAAATAAAATAATATAGATATATTTTGTTTTTGATTTTCCTAAAATAAAATACACACGAAATAATAAAAAGGCTATATAATACAATGGAAAGAATACGATTAGGTACAGAGTATTTTACCCCACCATGGATATCGGGATTGTGTGTAATGTCATGGAAGGGCTTAGCAGAAAGTTGTATGCAAAATAATATAAAGAAAAGGCGTGTTCAAAAGTTTCCAAGGAATGTTGAACTAAGATAATTCGATACGGATTGTTGAAAGTACCCAATTATGGGACTGAGATCGCCTTCAGGGATTAAGTGATAAAAAAATATCACATTTCACTTTAGAATATGAAAATATTGAGTACAATCTCATTCGTTTTTCTTTTACATACCTTATTGCTTATTTATTTAGAGAACAGTTTTGTACAGTACTCAAAACAATATCTATAATATGTGTGCTTAAAAGCTACGCTTGCTAATAAATAAGAAAAAAAAAATAGAAAGTGAAATTTCCATGAGACTATAATTACTTAAAAAAAACTCATCTGTAATAATGACGCGTGCTAACACCAATCAGGCACTATCTAAGCGTTCACCTCGACAATGATTCAAATCTCGAACAATCACAAATCAATAAGAAGCCGTGACAATTAAAATGACAAGCTCACACATTCCTGTATTGTTAATTCAACGTTTACCGAGTATAAAAATACAAAACAAAGGAATTGCAACGGTGTGCGTGCACTCTACTTCCGCCGCCGTGTGAGAAATTCAATACATCCCATTCGCTGAAGCCGTCTACAGGACCCGTATGCGGTGTGACAGATGATCAAACACCATTGCAAGCTGACTTCGATCGTCTTCCGTTTCACCAAAATTGAGTAACACACACCCATCATAGCTCCATTGGTTCGGTGAGCGTAGTACGCGAGAAGTTTAACACAGATCGGTCCGCACTGGGCGAGCGCCAAATCGACAGTCAATTCCACAGTCGATGACGTCATCGTGGCATTATCTGGGGGGGGGGGGGAGGAGAGGGTTGAACTAATTCACTTTCACACACTATCCGTCGGGGGTGGGGGGTGTGGTGGGGAGGGCGTGTCACGTGTCGAACTAATTCACTATATCACAGCACTAGTCCTGCACCTCTCTGTAGGGCGTCTCGCTCGTCACCGTGAACGACTCGAAGTAGTGGTTGAGGAACTCGAAGGTGGGCCTCTTCTCCGGCGTCGCGTCCCAGCACTGCAGCATCAGGCCGTATATCGCGTCGGGCAGGTAGTGGCCTACCGGCTTGGGCATCCTGTAGCCGCGCTCCACCTGCTCGATTACCTCCTTGCCGTGGAGGCCCGGGTACGGTATCTGGCCGTACGTGAACAGCTCCATGAGCAGGATGCCGTACGACCAGACGTCGCTCTTGATCGAGAAGCGGCCGTATATGATCGCCTCCGGCGCGGTCCACTTCACCGGGAAGCGGGAGCCCTGTTTCGGGCAGTACTCGTTGTCCTCTATGACGCGCGCGAGGCCGAAGTCGCATATCTTCGCGACGTTGTTGTCGCCTATCAGCACGTTCCTGGCGGCCAGGTCCCTGTGGATGAGCAGCTTCGACTCCAGGTAGGCCATGCCGGAGGCGACCTGCGCCGCCACGTAGACCAGGTCCTCGAACTGGAGCGACTTGCCCTCGCCGTTCCTGAGGAACTCGAGCAGCGAGCCCTTGCACATGTACTCCTGCACGATGTAGACCGGCTCCTGCTGCGAGCAGACCGCGTAGAGCGCCACCAGCCGCTTGTGGCGGAACTTCTTCATGATCGCCGCCTCCTGGAGGAACGCCTGCGTGGACATTGTGCCCTCGCGGAGCGTCTTCACGGCGACCTGAAAACGAGACGGGGGAAAGTTTTGCTCAGTCGTTCCGGTTTATCTTTATTAACTCTTTGCCTTTACTGTTTAAAAGATAAGTCGGTCACGAGTAATTGGAAAATGTCCTTTGTTTTATGTGAGAAAGGTAGATAACGGCCACCCATGGACATTAGTAACACCCGTAGGGTCGCAGATGCGTTGATTCCTTTTAAACTAAGTGGGCCACGGCTACCTCACTCACCAGACAAAACACAAGCTAAAACAGAAGTATGACACTTCCACTTGATGCCGGTTTTCTGTGACGTCGTGGTACTTATCCGGACGAACCTGCCCATTCGTGCAACAGCCGATGCTGTTACATGGCCCTACCTCAGTAACCTTCGTGTATATCATTCGTTGAGCAACCAAAGGTTTATTTTTTACTACTAGCGACCTGCCCTCTACTATATTATGCATGAAATACATATAAACCTTCCTCTTGAATCACTTTAACTATTAAAGAAAACCGCATCAAAATCAGTTGCGTGGTTTTAAAGACCTAGGCATATATAGGGACAGACAGTCCGTAAAGCTTATTCATTAACTACTAAAAAGGAACACTTCTTCGGCCACAAAGTAACAGCCTACCTCGATACTATTGCACCATTTGCCGTAGTACACCTCGCCGAAGTTACCCTGGCCCAGTTTCTTGATGAGCTGGATCTGGCTCCTGGGTATCTCCCACTTGTCCCTCAGCTCCGGCCCCAAGTCCCACATCTGGGGCTCGGGCTTGGGGCACGGCCGCGCCAGCACGTGGCAGAGGCCTAGCGCGTTCTCTGCAAAAAGTGAGCACGATTTATTCGCATAGTGTATCCCACAAGCGCACAAACGGTACCTTGTCCAAATCTTCACAAAACCCGCGCTTGGAAAGCAGAAAAATCATGCTTGCTGCCATTATTAAAATTAAAAAATTAGGTTTTAGAGTATGAGTATTAGGTTAGGTTTTTGGGTAGGGTATATAAACACCCAGACACTGGAAAAACACTATGTTCATGAAAGAATATTTTTTTCCAGTAGTGGGGATCGAACCCACGCCCTCTGGCGCGAGAGGCAGACTCTCTACTCACTACGCCAACCGGGTGGTCGACGGTTGAAAAAGACAGAATCATACTCATCATCCGTCAGGTAATCTAGAACAAACTTCAATAGTCTCTGGGTTAGACGTAATTACTCAGTAATAGATCAGACACAGTCAAGAATCTTTGTCACTATTTAATCGCAGTTGGCACAGTTGCCAAACGAACAGGCGATTGACCTAATGAATGAATATATGACGCCGGTGATATACATGCACAACACCTGAGGAGTTGCGGATTGCAGGGCTGATTACCTCACCCACCAGACAAAACTTGAAAGTGTTATTCTTCCATTTCACGATGATGACGCCCCTGGACGGGGCAGCCCATTCGGGCAACAGCAGAAGCCGCTGTGTGACCCTACCGCAGTCATCACCTCATTTTCTTATGTGAGAAGGTGGCAAATGGCTGGCGGTTCACCAGTGTCATTTGCAACACCCGTAGAGTTGCACATGCGTTGCCACCTTATAGCAAACTTGGCCCCAGCTGCCTCACTCGCCAGACGAAACGCATAACTAAAACACTTCCACATCACGCCAGTCTTCTGTCAGTTCGCAGTCCTTCCCTGGACGCTCCTGCCCGTTCATGCAACAGCGAAGACTGTTGCGTGGCCTGGTGGAGAGCGGCTCCTATGAGCCCCACCACCACACCTTACAAATTATGTCACACAAAGAAATGAACAGACATAGTGAACGGAACATACTTGTGTAAGACATGACGAGCGCCGGCAGGCTGGGGAAGGTCTGGTTGGTGGCGATGTAGAACCCTCCGTTGTCGAGGGGCTTGATCTTGTAGTGCTTCACGTGGTAGCCGCGCCCCTCCTCCCAGTCCTTGACGCTCAGGCTGAACCCGTGCGGGTTGTGCTCGGCGGGGCGCACCAAGAAAGTGCCGCGGGGATTCCCCTCGGCTAGGAGCAACTTGTCCGCCTCCTTCCGCGACACGTGCGGGAAGAACCAGCTGGAATGGAATGCCGCCGCTTAGCGCGCGAAATTGTTCGAAAAGCTAACGATGACCCGTGCGATATTTTCGCTGTAACGTGATCAGTCACCGAGTGGTAATTTAATAATGCCCAAATAAGTGTTTTCAAGTCTACTTAGCTATATTTCATTTAAGAGTATTGTCAATAGATGGCATTATCATACATTCTTCATAAGAAATTTTAAAAGGTTTTTAATGAAAACATTAACTTTAGAATACTTGTCGACAAAAATACGCTGGAAAATCTTGTTTGAATCTTAAAATTTGATGAAAATGTGTTACGAAAAAATAAAGTTTTTTTAACAAAAAAAGAACCGACTTCAACAAACTATTAAAATTAAAAAGTTTTATAATAATACTAAATGTAATATATAAACGTTGAAAATCTAACCTTTATTATTACCTAACCTCTAAAAGCAGTTAGGTTCTTTTTTGTTAAAAACTTTATTTTTTTATGTTTAGTGATTCATTTAATAAACTTAGGTATTATAAAATATGGATAGACCTAGCAAAGACGGTGCTCGTATGAGAAAACGGCGTCAAACTAAAACCGGGAATGAAAAAAGGAAAACTGTTAAAAGCAAATAAGGAAAAAAAATATTTAAGCATTTCAACGTCAAGGTCAAAAAGTTCTTTATCAAAAAAATAAAATCAGCAGAATCCAGGGGACTTGAAAAGTGTAGAAAGAGTGTGAAGACAGGTGCGACAACAGATTGTAAAAAAAAGATCCTATAGGTATATTCCGTAGATTAAATGACGAAAATCAAGAAAATAACAACAATTGTCTTGGTTTAATTCGCACTCGTTTGGTTATAAGTTTATTTAATAAACATTACCACCCGCGTTGGCGAATTGACAACGGCTCAACTTGAATTGCTTTGCGAACTTCAAGGAAAGTGTTCCTGTAACTCCATCATGCCGATATCGCCATAATCTCGAAACAGTTCACATTTATTCCCACTATCAGACAATTAGACGCTTACAATAAACACATGATAGGTGAGAATGCGAAAACGTGCAAATTGTGTAAATACTTTTACACTCTTTTTCATGTGGGAACGTGGCAAGCGATCTTGCGGTTCACCTGAATTTAAACGATAACTGCCGCCATTGACATTTGCAACACCCGTACGATTGCCAATGCGTTGCCACCTTATAACAAAGTGTGCCCCGGCTACCTCAATCAGACGAAACGCTGAAGTGTACACTCCCACTTCGGTCTTCTGTGAGGTCGTGCTACTTACCCGTACGGACCTGCCCAGCCCATTCGAGCAATATAGAATACCTCACTTACCAGACGAAACGCAGAAGTGTAACACTTCTACTTCACGCCGGTCTTCTGTGAGATCAGCTTACTTCCACGGACGTGTCTGCCCATTCGTGCTACGGAGAATGTTGCATGGCCCTAGCAACATCTCCAGTAATAGCTAGATCTCCATCCAATATAAACTATACACTGGCTACCGCCACGTGTTAAAACGACGAAATATCCAGAAGACACGGGGACAAAAGACACATGATGACTCCGTGGCGCAGTTGGTATTGGCTTCGGCGTCGGAGATCGTGGGTTCGATCCCCATACGGGACAATTATTTGTGTGACCCACAGATAATTGTTTCGGATCTGGGTGATTGTCCGCATGAAATTTATGTTTGTAAAACGTCCTTACAACACAGGGTAATGTGTAATCCTAAAGCAAGGGCAATGGTTTTTAGACAAGACAAACACATCAAACTCACTCCTCGCACTCGACGGAACTCTCCTCCGCTACGAAGTTCGCCGGCACCAGGCCCTCCCGCCTCGTGGTGAGGTGCAGCACTCGCCACCAGTCGGGCTCCGCATCGCTCAGCACCTCCATTCGATCGCCCTTGCGGAACGATATATCAGACTCGGCGCGGGCGGTGTACGCGCAAAGGGCCTTGACCACCCTCCTGCCCCCGTTCGATATGCCTGGAATGGGAGTCCTCCGTCATAAAGGTATAGTAATAAGGTCATGATAATAATAAAAAGATCATGATAATAATAATAATAAGCTCATAATAATTACATATTTTTTTCTTCAATATGTTTGTGCGCCTACATCAACTTCTCGGTACCACCCTAAGGTTGACTGGTAGAAAATGCTGTCAGAATTAAGTCCGCCTATGTACTGTTGTGTTTTGTGCATGCAGTTTAAAAATAAATAAATAAAGGTTCTCTGTCATGACATCATAACGACCCGATTGGCGTGGTGGGTGGTGCACTTGTGCCAGAGGGTATGGGTTCGATCCCCGCTACTGGAAAAGTATAGTGCAAAAAATTTATAAAATACTAGCATTAGGCGTGTCTAGCATTGTTGGTGCGTGCGTGCGTGCGTGCTTGCGTGTGTGCGTGTGTGCGTGTGTGCGTGTGTGCGTGTGTGCGTGTGTGCGTGTAGTGTCGTTGGGGGCAACTCACATGTGCCCGGGTTCCGTGTGCGGACGATGTCTGCGGGACGCCGCGAGACGACGCGGTTATTCGGCTCGCCGGTGTATCGGCTCTCCAGCGACGGGCACGTCGTGAAACCCGCCTCATTTTTCTTGTACGCGGGGTAAACTGTAACGTGAAACGTTAATATTAAGGAATTGTGTCACTAAACGCCCGCCGGTTTACTCTGCTACAGATGGCGCTGTGTCGTGCCATTCAATACTTTCTGCTAGCTACAGCTATGAAGTTACTGAACAAAAAAAATGCATTGTGTAAAAATGGCCCCAATCGAACCCTAAAACATTAAAATAAAGACGCACCAAGTATGAAAAATTATTATTAATATATAATCAATTATTTAGAAAATAATACTTTCTGCTAGATAAAGATCGGCAATTTTGCAGTTTTTAAGGACCAATAAACTAACGTTACCGATGAAGGCTTCAAATTCTTAATACGTTCTAGGACTATTCAATATACATTCATGTCCATTAATTGACAGCATCCTAAAACTAACGACTTGTTAATGTCAAAATGTTATCCGTGCCATAAATTTAAACTTCATTAAACAAAAAAAGCTTAGCAGAAGACAAGTGTAATCAAATTCCTACAACATAAGAAACACCTATTACTGGTAAGCGAAAGAACTTTAATTGACTTCACTATGTGCTTGAATACATTCAGAAAAGCTCCTTATGCTCAACTCAACAGCATTACTTTAACTTATACGATAGCAACAAAAAGCTGGTCGCATGCGTGCGCAATGAAATTGCAGTGATTACACTTGACCGGGGCTAAGTGGGTCTTTGCCCTCATTTGAACTTCATTATCGCCAACTTTGTATACGTCCATTAATGAATAAGTTTGTACGTGGCAGCTTTTAATTGTGTTTTTTTTAAATGGGTGAAAACGAAAACATTAAAATTTATATGTCTTAAAGAAATACTTTTAGAACAATTATTTTATCGCGTTAAAATACTTTTACAACAATCTCGACATCACAATCCAAATCTTTGAATTTCTCTGCTTTTCCCATACCATATGTGGTATATACATGTATGTATATATACCACATATTAACTTTCCTCTTGAATCACTCTATCTATTGCTGAAAACTGCATGAAAATCCGTTGCGTAGTTTAAAAGATCTAAGCGTAAAAATAGCGGGAGTGACTTTGTTTTATACTGTGTAAAGATTTATTTTATCGCACTTTTTTTTTAATATGCGTCTATGATGTCGTCGATGTGAGGTTATCAGATTTGTGCAGAAGCAATCGAGAGCAATATTCCTTCTACCTTAAACATAATTGGTTTCGTGTATACTGATTACGAAATTTTATTGCGTTTTTTCGTTTTCCAATCGCAACAAATACTATTTGCTAATTATCTTAACGTTTCCCGAATATGCAAGTATGTAATTGCAAACTTATATAACGTGCATTTTAAATTACACTGCAGGATCTCCAACAAAACTACAAGTGCAAAACCGAATTAACATTTACACAAGACACAATTTTATGTGATCCTTAGTTTATAAATATAAAATAAATATATTATTTTCTTAGCCGTGATACCAAGGAAGCCATTATAGCTCAGTATCCGGGCGCTCGCGCTCGATGTCTGTACCAATGAAATTGCCAATTTTAAGTGCAGACTTATTACATATTAGTGGTTTTATTAGAGGCCTTTGTCCAGCAGTGGGACACCTATATGTTGATACTGTATATTTACGTAAGAAGAAATATACAGTTTTTAGAAGCCGCTAACGTAGAGATAATTAAAAGTTACTTGTATTAATTCTCTTTTATGTCTAAGCAGTTCAATTTTATTATTCGTTACACATACACATTTGTTCTTTTTTCAAAAATTAATTAGTATTTATTCGAATTGTTGCCTTAATCGCCCTTTCGATCGAAGAGGTCAAATATGTTGGCTACAATGCATCTCTAATGTTGGCACAATTCTTTTCTCGTATATCAAATATAAAATATAAAGCTTCGTCAAAAAAAAGTACAATTGTGAAACTTCCCATAACAATATAAACTCTAGCTGCGGGAATCGAACCCGCGTCTTTCGATTGCGCGAAATGCAATGGCGACATCTCACGTTCGAATTATTATCGTTTTAAAATGATATTTGAAATTGTTTGTCTGCTGTAAAGTGTTGCAATGTACAATAGATGCATCGAGAATTGCTTGAAATGCAGAAAAATCTATGTAGATTAAATATTGAGATGTCGCTTTTTCCTACAGAACTTATTTTTATTTTTAGTGCTAATATTTATCCACAAATTTCATATGCGAAGATTAGTACTGAAAGAAAAAAATAATTTATATTACTATTAACATTCACTTCATCAAATTTTATTTTCGAAAATATTACACGAAGTGTATTTGTGCCTAAAGAGGTCGATGAAGTTTTGAGGCTTATTTAAAACATGATATTGTCGTCGCCACTTAATACCGTTGGTAACCGTAAAGAGGATTAAGGTCCATTTACACGATGCCATTTTCATGTACATACAAGAGCAATAATTGAATGCAATAAGTTGCCCGCAATAATTGACCATCAAGAATTGTAAGCAACAGTTTACACGCAGATATAGTAAAAAAAAATTAATGCGATTATTGTATGCAAGTCTTGACAGGAAATAATTGCAAAGGTCTTTTGTTTACACCAATGCAATTATGTTTAGGCGATTATTGCTTTCAAGTTTTGACTTGTCTAAACACATGCTTGTATGTGCGTGTACAATTTATTGGCGTGTTGCTTCAAGTATTGCACGTATTTGCGTTGACAAATTTTTCATGCAAGTGTTGAACGTTTTACAAAGGGCTGTTTTTTTTAAAAAAAATGGCTCAATAATAAGTGTTCAAGTTAGATTATGCCGATTAAATATATTTCAGTGAGATTTATTTATTATGATCCATATATTATTATTCACATTTTTATCCAACTTTTTTACGACCTTTTCTCAATATTTCTATCCTCAAAAGAACAGCAATGATTAAATACCCTCACTCATTGCACAAATTTTTGCCAAGGAAGAGAGAATGCAATTGAATACAAGAATTGCTTAAGAAATTATTGTGTGTGCTGTTTACACCAAGGAAAGTTTTGAAACAAAACTTGAAGCAAGTCTTGTTCAACAGTCAAGAATGTTATGTGCTGTTTAGACAATGCAACTCATTTATTGCTTCAATTTTATTGTATATAACAGGCAAAAAACTTGCACCGTGTAAATGGGCCTTTAGGTGGGCCCGATGCTGATGACCTGAGGCATGTTACAGTGAGTTTTGTTAAACAAAGACTATCCGATCCATTCCATTGCCCTCCCTACAACATAGTAGTGAGGGAACAAAGGTACACAGTTGTTCCGCTAGAGAGATATTGTAATTAAAACAAAAGCAGTCTGTAACCTACATAAAAATTACCTGAGATTTAAAAAAACTTATTTGAAAAAAAAAATATTTTAGGTAGTAATTTCTATCGATTTAAAAATAAACTTATCTATGAAGTTCGAAACCTTCACACTGTGGAAAGAAACTTAAATTGATGCTATAATACTTGCCGACGTGTCGAGCTGTTCGATAAAATTCTTACTTGTCAACTTTGAGTTAAAAAGTTAACTTTGTTAGAAAAAAGTTAAACGGGCCAGGCGATGTAAAGCAAGTTCAGTTTCAGCTTTTGGCTTGCAATTTAGCGGTGACAAAGTGTTCTTAACCTAACGCCCGGTTTCTGAAACAATGATCATCGTAGAAGATAACTGATCAGCTGTCAAATGGCTACGATGATCATTGTTAAACCTAACAAACTTATTATGATTTTGAATGAATGAATGAATGAATGAATGAATACTTTATTCCATCCACCACACATAAAAGGATACACAAAATTAACAATAGACAAACAAATAGAATGGACAATTTGGCGGCCTTCTCTTCCATCTCTTCCTAACGATACTCGAGGGACTGAGACAGATAATGCTCTTTAACTAATTTCTTAAAGGTGCAAATAGATTGCGCCTCACGAATAACTAACGGTGGGGAATTCCAGAGTTTGTTTTGTTTATGTTCCCTGTATAATGTGCTAGATTTTTTTACATGAAAATGTGACAAACGAGTAGGCGGTTCACGAATACATAACCGCAACCCATTGGCATTTGCAACACTCGTTGGGTTGCATATGCGTGGCCACCTTATAATAAAGTTATCGGCTACCGCCCTCACCGGACGAAACGTAAAAGTATAACACGTCCACTTCACGCCGATCTTCTGTGAGGTCGTGGTACTTACCCGGACGGACCTGCCCATTCCAACACTGCCGAACACTGTTGCGTGGCCCTACCACACTAAGCTTTAATGAATTGATTGAACTTATGCTGCTATTAAATACACTTAACGTGATTTTATATAAACAATTTCTTAAGCATCCTGTATTCGAGAAATGCGGTTTAGATGCAACTTGAACACAACATTGACGTCAGCGATGTACCGAAAAAAATGGTGACTTAACGAAGTCTTTTATTAATACAGAGACTAGGTAAGAACTAGAAGCGCACGCTAGAATGAAGACCGTGATTAGACAAACACAAGATGTCGAGGAACGTCCTTACGCACTACTAAGAACGTGTACTTACAGTTGTGTGTCCTATCAATGAGTATGAACTCCTTACGAGGCGCAATGAGGCGCCTTTGAGCAGAAGACTTTGTAACGCGAATGAATCCGTTATTACCACCACTGGAGAAGGATAATGAATACAGCGTCTATTTACTTGGGTCCTTAGCATGATCAAATACCTAATCAATTAACTTTTTGTGATAATTAACGAAAGTTATGTTTGTACGTGTGCATTATAACATATAACATCTGACTTTAACGGAAAAACGTAGAATAAAATCATATTAGTTTATAAATAAAGGAAACTTCCTTTATTTATAAAGACTTTTGATTTTCATTTCACCGGGCTTCCACCGCCAGCTTGGGCAAAGTTCTTATCTGGTTATGCGTACAGATAGGACAAACAGCCTTATTTATTTGTGTCCAAGTATTGTGGAGAAAGACGCACCATTGTCAAGTTTTGGAACCGACGACACGAAAACGACGTAACTTGTTCCATTTTAATTTCCTTGCTGGGTGTGTAATGAGTAGTTGGTGTAATAATGCATATTAGGTCGTCACTTCCTTCAATCAACATGGTGGTCTTCGTAACGAACGATCGTGAGGATTCAAATCCAGGACCGAACTCACCGAGTGGTCGGTCGGGGTCATGCCGGCGGCTGCAGCACTTGTTACCCATGGCGCGGCCCGCCCGCTACGCCGCGCCAAGCTGCTTCTGTAAACAAAAGAAAGAAAAGTAAAGTAACACCCTATATATGTCCCACTGCTGTGCTACGGCCTCATCTGTGCAGAGGGTATTAGGTAATACCCCCAAGCGATCCCACTGCGGATAAGCAGACAAAAAAATTTCTACTGTCTAACTATCACGGTTCACGAGATACAGACTGCTGACAGGCGGACAGACAGCGAGCGAAGTCTGTAGTAATAGGATCCCGTTTTACCATTTGGGTACGGAACCCTAAAAATAAAACGACTAACGCAAGACCATGGAGACGGTGACAGAAATCCGTCCCGCAGTGAATCATGCTGAATCAGCGAATAAAACATACAGTCGATGTTAATCCCAATTACACGCCCTTATCGATACTGTTCCGTCAGTATTGACGCTATCATCCTTGTTCCCACGGCTGGTAAGGGCGATAAGCTTTATATATAGCTACGTGATCCGAATTACTTGCCACGGATCGTATACAGCGTGCTTTTCTGCCCCGTTCCTAATGCTATACAGGAGCTATGTGACGAAACGATATGTTGTTAACATAACAACTTATGAACGTTTAAATGTTTATAATATTTTTTTAATTGGGTATCATCGGGATACCGCTTTATTACTGATAATACTCATGTAGTTTTAATTTCTAAATGTTATAAATTCTAATTATGAATATTTAAATATGAATGCACAAGCGTTTTGTAAAAAATAAAATTTTGTCTGTCAACAATCTAGCGTTCCGCATGCTGAAGTTTTGAGTAATTTATTGAATTCAAGGAGTATTATAGTCTGAATTTAAATAGCATAAATTTCTCATACCGAGTTTATGAACGTTAAGGAAATGCTTTTGATTGCTGCAAACTTCGAATCCTGTAACGTTGCAAAGTAAATATTAAAAGAAAACAGACGATTGGCGTAGCAAGCCTTCCTTCTTTGATGAATCGTTGCTTACGAAGAGAGAATGCTTTTGTTATTGGAGGGTCTATAAAAGTCTAAAGGCATAAAGAGTTCATTATATCCTTAATGAAATAGAGATTTACAGGAGTAAAAATATGTATCGTTTTGTTAGAAAGTAAATACCACATTTATGATGTTTAGGAGATCTTGGAGATAGTTCACTGATATAATGTTTACAAAAAATATTTTTGTAAGTTGTTATACCTTACCAAGAAGTAGTAACAACGCTTTGAATATTTGAAACAATCTCTATTCTCCATAACAAACTATAACAGCTAGCATTCGAATAATACGAACAAGTTATAACGACTCTCGGTACACAAATTTTTTGTCACAAGTTACGTCACTTACCGTTGTTTTTCGAGACGGTGCGACTGCATTGTTCGCAACAGTTGAAATTGGCTCACTAGAACAATTTGAAATAACTCAACGCAACGAAATTATTATTTAAGAATCATTCCGTGTAATACTTTCCGGATTTAATGCCTCCTCGATATAATGCTTTTTAATAGCATATTATTCAACGACGACGGCAAATTTTTCCGAAAAAAAAAAATAGGATTATTTTAGGTTAATACTTCAACTTAATAATGCGTGAGTTAAGGTCTGAATGCTAATAAGAAAGCACTTATCTATTAATTAAAGAAAATTTAATTCGTAAGATAAGCAAATTGTAACTATACAGATTCTGCATAGCATTGAGCTAAAATTAATGCTAACAGAATATTAAAACAAAAAAGGCAGTCCAGCTGAACGTTTCTAAACGTTTCAGTAATTGTTTTTATTTTCTGCTTTCATCATACTTATAAGAATTGTCTAGATGAACGTTGTATTAACATGAATTAGGTTATATTGATACACAATGACTGAAGTTCAATTGCATGAAGGTTATTTTCCATCATGCAAAAATGGATTATTTCTTAATACATTTTAGTTAACCCGGAATATAGCTTGTAATATAGAGGTAATCACAATAAATAACCCTGACTAGAGGTCGAAATAAAAGTTTTGCCATCGATCACTTATTTTCATTAAAAGTTTTGAGTCTCTCGTTACTTTCGGACGAGATATTCTGTTTGTTATTGCTTCATAAACAGCTTTAGACTTCGGCAAGAATTTCCTATAACGGCCCCCGTGTACGCAGTCCATCCATAAATCGATCGCCGCCCCGAGTTGATTATTAACAATAACTTTTCTAACCTAAATAATAGTTATTTTCGTAAGGTTACATCAGCGAAGGAACCGAGCCGAGATAGCCATATTATTTTTCACTACTTCTCATTTGACTCTCTCGTACGCATTATTTTCTCTATTTATTTGTCGTTTGAATGTTAGAGAATACCAAATGATGTTAAGTCCTCCATGTTAAGCCATTGTGCAAAAAGTTTAAATGAATAGATATCAGAAAATTCTTAAAAAAAGCTTGTCTAGTTTCTCTTCATATATTTGATTTTTAACTTGTTAAACTTCTCGTAAGCCCAGCTCATCCCATTTATGTTGGTCGATGTTCGGCGGCAGAACCACAGAACGAAAATCTTGCCTAACAAATTGTCTTTTAACTGTGGTAGGGCCACGCAATAGTCTTCGCTGTTGCAAGAACGAATTGCAGGTCCATACGGGGAAGTATCACCATTTCACAAAAGACCAGCGAGAAGTCAAACGTAGAAGTATACGTTTCGTCCGGTGAGAGAGGTAGCTGGGACCCATTTCAATAAAACGTGGCAACGCAACTGCAACCCTAAAGGTGTTGCAAATGTCCATGGGCGGCGATTATCACTTAACATCTCGTTCACCGCTAGCTCGTTTGCTATGTTCTGACATAAAAAAAATATGTAAAGCGACTGGTAGAGTCAATTACACAAGCTGCGTATTTAATGATAATATGAAACAGGTTCATGTTTCATACGAAATACAGGCAGAAGAGCAATTTGTACGCGGGCGTTTCGCAGATTTTAATTAAGAAACGAAACTGGAACAGCTCCATCAAATCCTGCGCTCATTATTTCAGCGAAATGTTGCGAGCTACGGACGGAAGCATTATTTTGATAAATTCCACAGCGTATTGCAGTTAAATAATAACAAATTATACCGTTCATTAACGATGGAAACGTTAATCTTAATATTCACGACGTGCTCTCACTTAGATGTCAGCGCGTCGTCTGCTATTGCTGCGTGGTAAATGACGGTACTTATACAAGAAAAATCCTATCCCAATCCCATTGCATTATATGACACCAAGGAACCTGAATTAAGTTCTTTAGACCCTCACCGAAGCACGTGGCTGTTGTCTCCTGACCTCTTGATTGTAACGTGACGTAAAAATGTTTTTATCATTCAGCAAACGAGCTGTTTACAAAAAAGGCAAAAGATCTTCGTTCCATGTTTATGGAATCCTAATGCTGATGGAAAAAACCGTCAAAAAGAATAGAAGATGAATTATTATGCTAACACATAGTGATGTCGGAGATGTTCAAACTTCTAAGGTAAATGAGCATAAGTTTCACGTGAATTGCTTGCGTTAAGAACCGAAAGAGAGTTCGCTATTACCTACATTCTATGCTCATATATTGAGTATACATATTTATACATTTAAAAAAAAACATTGCACTTACTGTGGGAGAACATTATCCTGTGTTGTAAGAACGTTTTACATACACAAACTTCACGTGGACAAGCACTCAGATCCGAAACAATTATGCGTGGGTCACACAAAAAGTTGTCCCGTGTGGGAATCGAACCCGGCGCCGAAGCCAATGCCTTGGCAACTGCACCACGGAGTATGTTTAAACGAGAATACTATTATTTACAAAGATTTCCAATGGGCTAATGCAATTACATTATATAATTACATATGTAACCGTTCTTTTAAATTTGTTAGTCCTTACACCACGTAGAAAAGTAAAGAAGATTATTTTTGTCAAATACAACAGTTTGATGTTCACCGACTCCAACTCCAAAATTGTAATAAGTGAATATTCACATATAAGTAATAAAAGGCGAAATGCCTTAGAAGTAAGACACAGAGAATAATAAATAATTTGTCTAAAAGCAAGGCGCAATTTACCAGAAACAAAGAGATTTTCCGATGCAATATAAACGTATGGGTACATCTGTACGATGAGCTCGTATAATGCCGACATAACAGTAAGTATAGTAAAAGCATGAACCAAGTCGAATGAAACGGCCAAGTCGTAAATTTCTACATAAAAATGACGTCAATTACACAAGAGTCGAGTTGAAAGGGCAGTGTTGGAGTGTAGCCTCGTAATAAAGGCGGAATTGGATGAGAGTCTTGAGCCGCATCGAAGGCGACAGTGAAGTTTTGGAGGTCGGGGGAGCGAGGGGCAAGCGGGACGCCCCGGCCACCTGTTGCCTCTAATCAATAACACCACCATCGCACCATTTTACCCTAAGCCCCCACTCGAACGACCCCACAGGATACACCGAGACTGAGCAGTAGAGTATTAACTGCACCGTATTTAACTAATTTAAATACGCCACGTAGGTACAACTGTCCATATTATGTTATTCGCAATGATATCAATTGAACTTTATGTTGCTGTGCACATTCTTTATTGTTTATTAAACAAACCTTTAAGAAATTGTATCATATTGACTTGACTCCCGAGATTTTGGATGAACAAGTAAATAGTCAGTATTTTTAAAAAAGTGGTGGACTTTTTTAAGTAGCAAAGCCAATTGAAAATCACCAATTACATGGGCTTGTTAATAATTCTATTAGAACGTTTTCTATACCCAATAATTCTGTCATTTTTTGGTAAAAAAGAAAATGTGAAAATGATTTATAAGAATGCTTTGGCTTAGCAAATAAATCCTAACAACTGTATTAAGTAAGAAAACGACTTGAAATTATTTATATGACGACAATAGATCTAAAACTGTTTCATGGGTCGGTCGTTCGCGGAACATTTAACAAGGCCTTATCTTTTTCAGCCGTTGAACGTGGGGGAAAAATGAAAAATTGCACAGAACCTATTTTTATTCTTAAA